TCTCCAAGTGGACTATATTGGGATCTGTATCATTTCATTAGCTTTTGAAACCCATAATGTGTAATGTCAAACAAGGCCTAATAGAAACGTGTTTAGTAAACAAAACAAAACACTAAAAATATATGCGAACCTGTATGAAACCCTAGCCACCGCAAAATCGAACGAGCAAGAGATTCAATGGACGGTGGAGATATCATCAGCTCTATACCAGATGAGATCCTCCACCATATTCTGTCCTTTCTTCCGACCGATTCCACCATCATAACTTCAGTCTTGTCCAAACGATGGAGGCCTGTATGGTGCGAGATACCTACTCTCTACATTAATGGCTTTATAACGACGTCTAAAGAGAATATTAACCAAACCCAAAGTACTACAAGGCTCCCAAAATCACGAGTTTAAATCTTCATCGTATGAGCCATAACACTGCACCACAGATTGATAGCTGGATCGTGTTCGCAATGTCTCGCCATGTGCAGAACATGTCTCTGAAATTCGGTGTTGTTGGTCACGAGACTTAGAATTTTCCAGATTTCTTTTATCTCAGTTCCTCACTAACGCAACTCAGCGTAGACTTTGGCTTTAAAGATATGATTCTCAAATGCAGAGTGTCTTGGAAATCCCTAAGGAACTTGTCATTGTCTAGATGTAATCTCTCCGAGGAATCCATTGTTAATATTCTCTCTGGTTGTCCAAAGCTCGAAAGCTTGACATTGAGTTTCTGTGAATTACCTGAGCGTCTTGACCTCAGTGAGTCATTGAGTCTGACTAGATTGGAAATAAAACGTTACTTCGCTGGAAGACTAACCGAGATTGTAGCGCCACACATCCATTGTTTGAGAATGTCCTTTGACCGACCATGTACTTTAGTCCATGTCTCTTCTTTGACCGAAGCTAACCTTGTCATAATTAATGATCTGCACATAACCTTGGAGGTGGTTGATTTTCTTCAAACCATGGTGCTAAAGATGCTAGAAAAATTGCGCAATGTAGAGAGGCTTACTGTTGGGGGAGCCATTCTTCAGGTATTCTCATGCATTCTTTAAATCCTAAAAGAATAGTCACTGTAGAGTTATTATTAATTTGGCTGCCCACTTGATGTTTGCTTTGATGATTTAAGCTTTCCTTGTTCAAGAGTGTTTCAAACCATATGCATAAATAAGCACCCAGTCAAATGAACGCCTTGAAAACACGAACTTGCTAACTAGTTTCTAACAAATAGTTTTTCTTATGCTTTTTGTTTTTGTTTAAGATTTATGCTTCAATAATTTGATTCTTACCTCGTCATAGTTTCGTTAGATTTTATCTCTCGCCGAGCTCTGTGGTGTTCCTTTACCAACGTTCAAGGTCCAAACTTTGATTGTTAAAACGAGGATTGTTCGATCCGTTATTCACGGTATAGCAAGGTTACTACAAAATTCACCTGGTTTAGAGAAGCTAATAGTAGTACACACAACGGACGACAACTCCATACGGGTATCTCTCTTACTTTTTATATATATATTAAGACCATGTTAACTTATAACGAATGGAACGTTCCAAGAACCATGTCTTTCAC